TTCTCTAATGAGTAATTTACTCTTTCTCTTTCACAGCTTAGCGGGTGGCTACCGTACAGAATTCCTAATCTAAGCTTCTCTCAATCAACTTTTTTTTTTGAATATATTAATGATCTCAATCATATGAAGATTATGAGTTAAATAGTCTACATGCTAATAGTTTAGTAGTTTAAAGATAATGTTAAGAGTTCAACAAAGAAATGGGAAAGTAAAAAATTAGAGCATTGGAAGCATCTAACATGAATAGCTATAAGCCACAATGACTTCAATCATAGCAAAACTAATTGTGCACCCTGTTAGATAGCTATGCCAAACACGCACACACACACACGCAGAGGGACTCACACACACACACACACACACACACGCACACATAGTTGACATATCCAATGTCCGGCAAGTCGCGTCCTTGCCTGACATAACACAAGAACAGCAACATCATCATCATCATCATCATCATCATCATTATCAGTCATTATCATTATGATCCACTTCATTATGAGCAGCAGAGAGCAGAATTTGCTGACTATAATGCCTTCCACCTGATTGTCTATCTCTCGCTTTTCTTGTTTTCCAACAATTCACGCAAAATTAATTTCATTCGCTGTCCGTCTCGCTCGCACGCACGCTATGTGAAGCGCCTTCGTGTTGCTGCTGCTCTTGTTGTTGCTGTTGTTGTTGTTGTTGTTTTCACTCTAGACGCGCACTTACCTACGCTAATGTTTAATAAATTCTCAACTCAAATTGCCATTTGGCTGCCTTTGAGCGATCTGCAATTATTTTTGTGCTGTTGTTGTGCGCTTAATGAACGCTCATTACATAAGAGAGCGAAAGGGAGAGATAGAGCGAGAGCGCGCTATGCTAATATGCATATTTATAATTCTAACTACTAACGTTTAGTTTTAATCTCTATCGCTGGTTAGTCGCAACTGCGCGCACACACGTAATTCTAATAATAATTTCGAGCAATTTTTTATTTAGCTAACCCACTTGTTCAGCTTCTTCTGCTCTGTTTGTGTGCGAGAGAGATAGCGAATCCAATAGGCATATTACTCATACGCCGCCTGGGCCAGCGTCGCTTTTCCTTTTTTTTGATTTTCAATTTTCGATTTCAATTTCCCCCTAGTCGATTGCACAGACACCCGCTTGCCGATTACGTAAATCATTTCACGCCCGCCACGCCCACTAGCTCAGTTAAGCCCACTTAACCACGAGCGGCGCTGCATCTAATAAACAACTGCGGCGGGTCAGCCGGCGTAACATCAAATCTCGTGACTGACAGACAACGTGGGCGCAGCGCAGTTGCCAGCGAATCGAGTCAAGTGCCTGATGAAATTGTTCATAAACATTAAGAAACACCGAAAGACACACACGCACACAAACACACATACAATCGAAAACAACATAACATATGCTCGGATAGAAGCGGCATTCCTTCAAGATTTATCCAAGACGTTTCAGAATTGCTTAACTGCTAAGTGTTTTAATCTTAGATATTCCATTAATACAATCATTTAGAATAATACTGAAAATCGCATAACCTAACTCTAGGCAAACTGAATGGAATCTCTCAACAGCAAATAGCTCAAGAACGGTTTGACAAGCAGTAGGGCAGTTAGGCAAGTCTAATATGATTGACATGTCTGGGAATACTACTTAAGATTAGATTTGTCAATTATATAAGGAACAATTAGGTATAATATGGAGCACCTGAAGGTATTTCCAGTCTTTCTTAGGGTCATATATAGATTCTTAGAAGTACTGAAAATACTATTAAGGCTCTCCTCATATGAGGTATAATTATGGTAAATTTAATAGTATTTCCCGTACTTCTTAGGGTCATATATGTCAGTCTGATGCTTCGACTTGCCTACCTGTTTCACCTTTTGTATAATATGAGCAGCTTAATAGTATTTCCTGCACTAACAATATTCCTAAAATGTTTGAATTCATCAATCGTGAGGTTTTTCCTTTGAGAACTTTCAATAATTATAATTATAATTAATTTAATTGACAATATATAATATGACAAAATACAGACACACACACACACATACATATGCAGCACGCTCTCTGCTTACTGTATCTGCGCTTGAGCTGCCTTTATGCGGCTGACTTAGGGGAATCCTATTTTTGAATGACTTTTCTTCCAGTTGGATTTTTTATCAAATTATTGAAGTATAATAATAATATCCAGTTGAGTGGACCTTATAAAGTAAAAATCTTTATAACACTCTAGCCTCTAGTATTTGATATATGGTAAAAAGAAGGGACTGTCCAAAATGCGCAATATACTAAATCTGTGTATTCATTACAAGAACCACAAATAGTGCGTTTTAAGCTTTCATCTTTTGCAGTAACTGCGGCATACTGAAATCGATAACAAATGATCGATTTTCATCGATCGTCTGATATCTGTGTACCACTTCTTTTCCTGCATAGATGTTAAGGATTTCAAGTCTGTAGCTTTTGTGGTCAACATGTGAATAAGAAGAGATGCCAATATAAATTTTATCGGCTCTGCTGTACCCTCTACCTGTTAACGATATTTTAACAAGATCAGATGTGCCTGCATTTCTTGTTTTTGGTTATTTCATCGCATTCAAGTAAAGTCAAAGTGTGAAGTCTTTTGTGAATTAGGTCTTACAAGAATTATTGTAATAAACTATACAGTAGCTATGTTCTCTATATTCTCTATAAGTTCAATCAATCCTGATCCTTGCTGCGTGAAATATGATGGTTGCTTAATGAAATAACTAAAATACGATCTTGGTATTTTACAGCTCAGCTTTTTGATGCATGTGCGAATTGCTAATGCACAGACTATGGATACATTTTGTTGTTGTTCTTGCTTTTGCTTTTCTTTTTTGTTTTTTTGGGTTTTGCCGACTGCATGACAAATCTGTGTGGGATGCATTTTTATTAAAAACACAAGAGGCCACTCAAAACCATGCAGAAGCACACACACACACACCAGAAGTGGCACACACACACACATATATATATTTTTGGGTGTGATTTGCATTGGGCGCATGTCAAAAAATGTTGGCTCGTTTGGCAGCGTCAGCGGCAATTGAGGCGGCAAATTTAATACGCGAAAAGAACGTATTTCATTTGGCTGGTACTCGCAGGCCCAATCCCAATCCCAATCCCAATCTCAATCCCAGTCCCAATACCAAACCCTTTTTCTTTCCGATGTCACGCTGCGTATGAATAATATGTACGTTACGTATACGCCAGCGTCGCTGCATGTGGCCAACTGGGCAACATATGGCTGTAAGGGACGCTGCCAGAGAGAGTGAGAGAGAGAGAGAGAGAGAGAGAGAGAGAGCGGGAGAGAGGCAGAGAGATCGCTGCGGTTGCTATGGCCTGTGATTGAATTTTGCCAACGACAGACAGACCAGCACCGCCTCCGAGTTTTCTTCTTTTTGTTTTTGCCTTTCTGCATGCGGACTGACCGAATTTTCCCATTGCTCGTACAGGAAATAGGAAATGTTTTTCATATTTAAATTAGCTGTGCTGTTCATCTGCTCCTCTTCCTCTGCCTCAGCTTCTTCTCGTTTTTATATCACATCTTTGGCAGCCTTCAGTCAGCCAACATCCCGCGGCCACACTTTGCGCCTTTAATTGCCCCAACGACAGCGACAGCGACAGCGACAAATGATGACTGCGCTCAAAATGCAGCGGCGCATCGAGTGGCACGCGGAGCGTCATGTGAGTTGCTCAACGGCCAACAGGCAAAATAATAATAATGCAACAATCAACGTGATCTGACTCACGTATGAGCGCAAATCTCTTACATTCTTTCGCTGCGCTTTCAAACACTGTCAGAGCTATCGAACGGGTGAACAGCGAGAATTATGCAAACGAAATTTAATATTCAATGCAGCTCGCAGTTGATATGAAGTTGTTGATTCTTTAAATAACTCGGTTTTATATATTGTATATATAATGAATAAATGTGTATTATAGGTAAATTAGTTTTTTGTTTATATTAATATATATATATAGAGAGAGGGTAAAGTGTGCAATCGATATTTATCGATTGCTGAGATACTCTGTTTTTGGCAACACTCAAGAAGTGAGAAAGTTCTTAGGAGAGCAGGTTTTGAATTATATATTCCTATAATATGTAATTGAACTGAACTGATATAATAATCTGAACAAAACCTCGATAAAAGTCAGAGTTGCCTAGAAAACTAGCCAGCTATCAACATCCTATGTACATTAATATATATAGTAATATCTAGATTATTACTAATATCTAAGAAATATATATATTTATACATATTTATGGGAAGTTTTCATTAAAATAAATTTCTTTTATATATATTATATATTTTATATTAAAATAAAGTTCTTTTATATAGACTATAGACAGCTTAGTTATTCGAAATCAATATGCTCTTGTGGCCGCTCGAAAACAGAGTATAAATATGTTTTAGTCGGCTGGGCACAATTGCTCTGCCCAACATGGAATAAATTAACTAACTAATTGCGCTGAGTAATTAAAATCAATATGGAAGAAGAAGACGAACAAAATACTTGATAAAGTATGAGATGCATATAAAAGAGCGTCAAATTAATATTGCCTTTTTTTTTTCACTTGCTGATATAAAAATATATAGAAATATATATAATATATATTTATGGGTATATATAAATACATTTTTATCAAAGGGGCGCAAAAGAGTTCTATTTGCAGTGTGGCAAAGGCAGAGGCAAAAAAATAGAAAAAAAAAAAGAAATTAACGCCCGGTGCAGACAGGCGTGCAAAACAATTATGCAACCGTACAAAAGGAAAATAAATGAAAATGAAAATGAAAGCAACAACAACAGCAACAACAACAACAGCAACGGCAACAACAATACAAACATTGAGCAAGCAAGCAGGCAGGCAGACAGGATTAAATGGGGATTACATAGGTTAGATGCACACAAACAAAAGATAGAAAGTTAGCTAGATAGATAGATAGATAGATAGAACTGGGCATACGTACGATCTGTCAATGAGTATAGAGGCCTCCTGGTCTTTAAACCTGCAAAAGGGTTACAATAATAAACAACGATAATAGTACGAATAACAATCATAAGTCGATAGGCTTAAGAGATAGTTGTAGAAAAGGTATTAAGTACGAGTACGCAACACATGTAATCGATTGCCAGCAATCGACTTGCAGCAGACAACACAAAACTTATATGGAAATTAAGCTAAAACACAACGAAACTAAGTGGAAGAAAACAATAAACTGTAAATAAACACGTAAGAGTTCTCTAGTCGGCAGTGCTCGACTTGGAAATACCCTGAACTCTGTGTGGAGAGCTGTTATGCAAAGCATTTGAAGCACGATAGAGATATGCAAATGTAAATTCCAAGTTCCAGGTTCCCAAAATCCCATACATATATAATCTCAGAACCCTTTACAGCTGAAAGCTTCCGTCGTTTTAAGCTACCCTTAAAATGTCAAATCAAGTAATCGATTTTTATCGAAAATAATTAAATTGAGTTATCGAAAACAATAATCGCACTGCCTATAGTATACAGGAATATATATTTAATAAAACATCTACTACTACTACTACTCTGATTCCCCATTTTCAATAGGTTCTGTTTGTTATATCAAAAGCTCTCGAGCTTTTCTAGACTTGCAGACGAACAGACAAAGCTAGCTTGACTTGGCTCATCCTACCATTAGCACAGAGTTCAGGGTATACCAACTAATTCAACGGAAAGTCAACTAAAAGTTTCTACAATTTTCCAAGACTTGAAAATTTGTTTGTTGTTTTCATTTTTCTTCGGCCTTTCAAGTTTAGTTGTCGCTTTACATAAATAATTGACGCTTATTTTATTATGTTAAGCTAAATGCAAATAAAAAGGTTAACATAAACTGTGTGAATGTGTCTATCTTTCTCTCTGAATGTGTATGTGTGTGTGTGTGTCTGTGCGTGACGCCCTAAGGTATGCAATGAGTGGCAAATGGGATTGAAGCAGCTTAATTGAGACATCACGTGCAGCAGGTAAACGATATGTTCATGGCTTGGCAATGTGTGGCAAGGGTCGGGCTAAGCAGTGTGGCCACAGCCACAGCTACAACAACAGTCATAGTCACAGTCACAGTCACAGTCACAGTCACATTCGCAGTCACCGTCACCGACATCGTCATCGTCACTGACGTAGACAATGGGACGGCAATGACCCCGTCGGCAATTGATAGATAAGCGATGGGCTGCTCGGGGGCCGTGTCATGACGTCATTCTGTTGCGCACGTCACAACTGCAGTCGCAGTGGCCTGCACACAAAAGTCGAAGTTGAAGTGTTGACATTTAACAAAAAAAAAAACATACACACACACACTGATACACACGCACACATGGCAGCTGTGTGTCTCTGACTTGCATTTTAAACACTTTGCAAATGCCAACGGCACAAACAAACACAGAACAGCACAACGCCCACTGGCCACGCCCCAGCTAGCGTTATTTCTTTTTTTCACTCTCTGTGTGTGCGTGTCTCTCGTTTGTGGTGTTTGCTGCATGTTCCACAATCGAGCTGGCAAACACACCTGCGTTTTTTCGCCTTGGCATTTAACGCAAATTAACGCCTGAATGGCTTTCAGCATTGGGGCCCTGCTATCAATTGCTTTTGAGCTCGTCCAGCACTTTGATCCATCTGCAATTAACGTGTGCTTGCCACAGCCACAGCATCTGCTTGTGATGCCAACTGATTTGTAGTTGCCGACACTGAGCTGATTTCTGTTCAGCTGCCTACGCAGAGATAAAGGACTACAAGAGTTAAGGCTGTTCTCGTTGTACGACGTGGAAATACCCTGTGCATGACGAGCAACTAAGACAAACATTCTGGGCATTTTAGATATATTGATTGGTTAAATTACTAGAAATGTGCTATCGATTTTATTTATCATTCAATTTATCGATTATTGCAAAATTGATAAACTTGATATGCCTGATACATAAGTGTAGCTGAAAGCCTTGTTGAACCCTTTCACTATTTCATTTCTCTTTTTTACTTTTTATCCTGACATAGACTTTAAGTCTTTTGAAACGCACAATATATCGATTACTTTTGATATATTCAGAATTTGCAATTCTTTATTTAAATTTCCCTATTTAACTTAAATATCTACAATCTATTATTCATAAGCATAAGCGTTTCAGCTTTATGTATGCTCAAATACCAGAAGCTTGAATCGCTCTATTGGCAAGAGAACAGGTTAATGTTCAAAGAGGCGAGAATTTGAGGTACTCATCAAGCCTTTTATGATGGACCTTCTCAGTTCCTACATGGCTAGCAATGGGCATACGCCTACTGGGCTCTTGATCTGATTTTTCTCATTTTCTAAACAAATTTTAGATGATATTTTTTTAAAGTAAATGCCTGATATTGGCGCAACTTTCACTTAATCTTTCTTAGTGAAATCGAAATTGAAATTGAAGTCAACTTCACCTGCAATAATATGTATATTATTTGCCTCGAAATCTTGATCGCTTTATCTAATTTATTTGCCTTCGAGGCAGAAAGAGTTTGCTAGATCTTTAAGATCTTGAAGAATATATAAAAATATGTACATCATACATGTATATGCCTGATATATATAATCATTTCAATCAGCAGCTCATGATCTTAATCTGCTTCGATTCGTTTTGATCGAAACTCAGTAAAAGTTTACAGAAATTTCAACTGCTTATAAAGCCAAAAGTTGGTCAAGTTTTTGCAAATCTCTCGCATTTAACATATTTAATTGAATCATTGCTGATGCTGCTGCTGCTGCTGCTGCTGCTGCTGCTGTTGTTGTTGTTGTTGTTGTTATATTGTTGCCCTTGATATTTGCCAGCCGCAGTCAGTCAGCTAATTATTTGTTATTAGTGTTGAAATCTTTATGAAATTTTCACTCAACTTGTTCGTTGTCGTTGTCATGACAGCTAAGCTGGGGCCAGTCACTGCCAAAGTATAAGGTATATATAACCGAGTGTACATGTGTGTGTGTGTGTGTGTGTGCTTGCAATTGACAGGCTCATCAACAACATTGTTTGAAAGTGGCAGACTGGCAGACGAGGGAACTGCGATATGTCTCACCAAAAATATTCAAGTTGATTGAAAGCAAACGCAGCGAACGGACCCCGGTATATACGCTCTAGAAGACGACGTCCGACAGCCAGCCAAATGTCTAAGGGATGGACGGGGTCGAAGGGGTCGGAGGGGCTTTGCGCTGTAGGGGCGTAGGGGCGGAACGTAACTAGAGGCCTGCCAAAAACTTTAAAGCAGACCCAAAACTTTTTGGCCTGGCCCAGTCAGGCCGAAACAGCAGCACCAACAACAACAACAACAACAACAATGAAAAAAGTGTATATAAAGAAAGCCAAAAGAGAAATAAATGCAAATTGCGTTGCTGTCGCTGCCAAATGGCCGAAAAGGGAGCCAACAATATACCCGAAAATACCAAAAATACCGAAAATACCGAAAGAAAAAAATATGTATTTATTTCAACTATGTATAATTAAATCGTTGCTATGTTCTAGGCCGTGGGGGCCGTTGCACTTGGAGAGAGAAGCGGGGTGGGGACAGAGACCCCAACCTTGGCCAACCATGCTTTCTATGACACAAAGACACTTTCACTTTGAGTCCAATAACGGCGCCTGTATACGGCCCCTTAGATTATATAATGTTCATGGTCAGCTTATAGCTGAGGCTGGAATCAAACTGGGGTGTATAGCGTGTAAGAATTGTGGGTGTAGTTGTAGTGGTACTTGTATGATATGGGGGTAACTGTATACATAGTTCTAGACCCGGGTCTGGGTTGTCCGTATGACGTCTCCTCCAACTTCGGTGTAATTGTTAATGCTGGCGTGGAAATGTCATTGGATAATATGAGGGTAACTCAATCGATGTCTAGAAATGGGTCTAAGTTTTCCTTATGATCTATTCTACAGTCAACTTGGCTGCACATACATATATGTAGGCTGTCCCCAAGAACTATCGTCCAGCTTACGTGCATTCGGAATATCTTTTTGGGCACTTTGCTTTGATTGTTTATGTTGGCCTAAAAATCTAGTGGGATAATATGGGGGTACTCAATGTAGGTCTAGATCAGAGTCTGGGTTATCCGTATGATCTTTCATCCTACAGTCAATTTGGCTGCACAGGTGTATTCACAGGATCTTATAGGATAGTTTATAGTTGCTTTGATTGTTTATGTTGGCCTAGAAATCTAGTGGGATAATATGGGGGTAACTCAATGTAGGTCTAGATCAGCTTCTAGGTTATCCTAATTAAGTGTAGTTCTATGGCTTATTAGGATAGATTCTAATTAAATTTTAAGTATTAGTATAGAATATGGGGTCACTCAATGTTGGTCTAGAGCTGCATTTAGATTGACCCCTTGACCTATCATCTAGCGATCAATTAGACTGCATATGTTACCAGTCCACGTTGACATTATGATCTCTTGTCCAGTCCTCAAAGAAAAACATCCACTTATAGTAATTTGATTCGATTCTGATTATCACATACATATAAGCAAGGTTGTCGAACTTTCTTAGAGTAGAATATTTAGTTAAAGCATTTGAAGCTATACATCAAACATTAAAAACGGAAGAACAAAGAGAGACATTTAAACAGTGGGTAAGAGCAGTAATTTACGCACATACAAAACTGGCATTCATTTGTATGAAACATCAATGGTGGCATAAGATCTTCAAGAATATCAAGATATATGGGGAAAGAAGTATATAGCCAGAGATAGCGATACAGAGTTAAGGATAGTTCAAAGTTAAATGAAATCAATATGAGCTGAGAATGCTGATCAATGATAGCTCAGAAATAGATCTAAGCTCTCTAGCTGATAGCTACAGCTAACTCTGTTGATAGTGTACTAGGAATGTCGTTGCTTTTGCTTTGATGGGCGAAACGCTTCAGCTTGAGTGTCTCGGGGCGTGACGGGGGCGTTGGTAGGGTGCGAGGGCCTTAAGTGTTTTGCGGTCCAAATATTTTTGCAATTTTTCATCTGCGTTTTGCGCGATATATTTTAGCGCTTTGGCCTTTGAGACGGCAGGCGACGAGAGTGCCAAGAGTCGTGTAAAAATAGCTGTAAAATTCTTGTCTACTCAAGGCTGCATTTGGCCGCTGACCAGATGCCCAGCTAATTCCATATGGCGGTGCTCTGGCGTGTTTTGTTTTCGGTTTTCGGTTTTCTGCCTTCTGTTTTCTGTTTTCAGTGTTGTGCTTTTGACTTTTGACATGATGCTACCTGATGCTTTGATATCGCTCATCTTGTTTAGTGTAATTATTCTGTTCCTATTGCACATTGATGCAGCCGCAACTAAAAAGGGAAAAGCTTGTCGCACCTCGAGCACAAAATATGGCTGTCAAACAGAGAAAATTGTATTTCCGGTTTTCAGTTGCGTAATGCTCCCTTTCTCTCTCTCACTCTCACAGTCTCTCTCTCTCTCTCTCTCTCTCTCTCTGTATCTGCTCATTCATGTGTCATACGAGTGACATTGGCATGCATATTTGGTATCCCCCAGGTAAAGCTGACTAACTAATCAAAGCCCGAATAGTTCAGCAAAAATTGTGGCTAAATGTTGTTTGTCATCCATTGCCAGAGCTTTCCAAAAAGTTGCCAATGCTATTTATTCGAGATGCCTGCAAGCGTTGTCAAAACAATGGTCAAAGCCGGGTCAACTCACGGCCCAGAGCACAGAGCAGCTGACGCCGGACAATGGACAGCGGACAGCGGACACCAGACAGCGGACACCGGACAGCGGACATTGGACAACATAGCAAAGCCGTAAAGAGCATATAGACGGTTTTGGGTGAGGTGACGTTGCCGGAACTGCTGGAATGGAATTTTTGCCAAAGAGGCAGCCAGATGTGGCAAAAGGCTTGCTATGAATTTCAGAAATGCCATCAATGGGACGGCTCTTGACCACCAGCAGATGATGTTGCCAACTTTGCTCCAGAGGCGGTGCGCTGCAATGCCATTGAAATGTGGCAAAGTGCCTCAAATGCCGCAAACGATGCTGCACATTCACACACGCACGCACACACACGCACACATACGCACTCATATATGCAACATAGGTGCGGCATTGCGAATTGTGGCAGCATTTTCAACAGAAAAAGCAAAGGCAGCCAGACAATAGCAACAGATGCTGCAAATTGCTAGCACAAATTTAAGACTTCTAAATGAAAATGTTCAAAAGTTAAAGGAACAACAACAACAACAACTACAACAACAAGAGCTCGCCTATTGGTGTGAGGTAAACGCCCAGGAGAAATTCTCTATGGGCATCGAGAGTGGTATTAAAGTAATAGAAAAACTAAAAGAAGCCAGCGACTGTGCTCGGAATTAGTAGTAGAAGAAAAGTTATCAAAGCAGCACGCCGCACAGGAGTCGGAGCAGGAGTCAAGCAGCTAGGGCAAAAACACTCAGGCTGAGGAAGCTGCAGTTGACCAGCAAATGTAGTTTGAAAAGGAAGCAGCTGAAGCAAGTACAAAGTTTCTACTACTTTCATGGCAAATTTAACTCGCACGGATTCTGCTCCTATTGCTACGAGCACAGAAAGAGCACGAATAGGAGTAGAAGTGGAAGGTATATTGCCTATGCATTGGAATGGGAGTAGAAATTGAAGATCTAGTTGGCACTTCCTATACCAGTATAAGATGTTTAGTATAAGAAGCAAATGTAAATCTAGTCACATTTCATTTGTCATAGTACAGAATATATTACGATGCTTAGTATAAGAGTCGTGTGTCAAGTAAAGTTAGGCTGGACTGAAAATGCACGCTTTAATCGCACTTTTTATACCACAGTATAAGATGAATAGTATAAGAAGTGCATGCAAAGTTGAGTAGGAGTAGAAAATCAAGTTTTAGCCGCACCCCAATACTATTGTATAAGATTTTTAGTGTAAGAAATAAGTGCCAAGGCGAATAGAAGTAGAAATTTCAATTTTGATCGTACTTCTTTTATTATAGTATAAGATGTTAAGTATAAGAAGTGAATGTAAACTGCTCATATCGCATCTTATACCATGATAAAAGATATTTATCCTAATATGAAAGTCTTAAGTAATGTAGGAGAATAAATTAAAGTTCTCATAGCCCTTCGTATACCATAGTATAAGATGTTTAGTATAAGAAGTCACTGTAAAGCGGAGATTTAACTGTTAATCGCACTCTTCATGCCAAAGTAAAGGTATCAAATATTTACCCTTAGAAGTATGTGTAAAGCAATGTGAAGATAAATAGGATTATATTAAGGCTCTTCTTATAGCATAGTATAAGATGTTTAGTATAAGAGAGCAACGTAAATTGATATTAGAGTTTAACTTCATGTTCTTGTCGCTTATTATTAGAAGGCAAAGAAAAAGGAATTGGGAGCAGAAATATAAGTTTTAATCGCACTTCTTATAACACAGTATAAAACGTTTAGTATAAGTAGTAAATATAAGTTTAAGTAATTGAACCTTTACTTATGAGTTATAGTTGAGTTGTATGGGCAAGAAACTTTAGTATTGATGTAGTAGGATTGGAAAAGTGTGAAATCGTAGTAGTTCAAATGGTTGTAATAGGTGTAGTAGTACTAGAAAATGCTATAAATGTGCAAAAGTAAAGAAAAGTATTTGTAGTTTTAGTAGTAGTATTAGTAGTAGTAGAAAACGTACTAGTAGTATATATGTAAGTAAAACTATATACCTTAATGGTAATTGAAATAGTCGTAGTAATAGTAATTGAAAGTGTTGCCGATATGGAGTAAAAGTGCTAACAGTTATACGGGGAGCGGGCGCAAAGAGTTTAAATGGTAGTAGTTGCTGGGAAAGGTACTATGGGAGTAGCATAAAAGTCACAAAAGTAGGTGACGTAAAATGGGGAGGCACAAAGGGTAGTAAAATGTAATTCTAGTACACCGGGTACAGGGTAGAGGTAGAGATACAGGTAGTTGAATCACATGAAACATTGAATAACGTTACAAAAAAGAAGTGAAAAGAAAACAAAAAAATCGTTAGTAGTGGCACACGCTAGCAAAGCCTAGAGCCGTACATGACAATGGAATAATAAAGAGCTGCTAAACTCCTGTCTTTCAATGTCAGGTGTGTTTCAGCCATGTTTGCTGTTGTTTGAATTGTTGATTATGCTCTTATCATAAATTTATACTCATAGTATGTACTCGTTGTTGTCACAGAAACTTTTTGTGATATGGATGGGATTATGAATAGTTTATGAAGCTCGTGAATGCTGTATACGAACTCAAATCATATTTAAAGCATGTAAATGAAAATCTAGATGAATTGAAATCATATATGTACACATATACGCAAAAAGGGAAAAACCATATCCAAACCAAAACCAACTTCTATGTATATAGAAAGTGAATCGATTGGGTGTTTGGCACTTACCTTTCGCTAGCAATGCTTGAGTTCCTGGACATTGACTTTGGTGACATCTCAAAGTCCGAATCGGAGCGATATAAAAAGGATTCGCGACGTTGCGGTAAATTCTGTAGAACCAAACCAGCGCTGGGTGAGCCGCCCTCAAGTGGTGATCGGGCGCCCTGGCCATTTTCTACATCGAAACTGTAAATGGGAGAAAACGAAAATATAAATATGAATGTAAATATAAATATGATTATTATTGCAGTTATTCAATTGAAGGCATTATCAATAACTTTACGAGCTGCCCACTGTGTGACCCCAAATAATTGAAAGCCGACGCTTTTAGGCCACGACTTGAGTCCTGTTATAGACGGCCGTGATGACTTGACACAGCGAACTTTTCAGCGCCAACGGAAGACAGCCGCCAGAAGTGGAGTGTGGTTTGGGTGAGTTTAGTTAGCCATGGGGGTACGGGGGCCATGAGGGTAGCAATGGCGACGACAACGACAACGACAACGACAGCGACGAGGACGACCTACAGGAAACGGAAGCGCGCCTAACAAGGCGCTTTTAAAGTTTTTCAATTCGTTAGACATTTTCGCCCTTTGTCTGCGTCGACGTCAGCCGCGCTTGCTTATGAAAACTTTTGCGCCAACTCGGCTAAAAATGTAACAACCCCTCTCCCACGCACCCACACACACAGAAAAGGGGGAAATAAATTGGAACAGCCTGGCCCCAACTCCAGACCGCGCAACCGAATGTAGCCAAGTTTATTGTGAACTTGCGCTGAAAGTTGACTTCACTACAGAACCGCATTTCCCTCAGGCCGTGTATTCAAGTCGCGCCAAAGTTGTGCCACTGATCAAGTTAACGCGCGGTTGCCAAGGATCAACTTTTTAAGTACGCCCAGCTAGGTGGGCGTCTTCAAATAACCACCATATTCTCGGCCCCAATTCGGATGGTTATCCATTTTGTTAAGCAAAGCAGCTTCGATTTCACACTATCTCCAAGCCAGACAAGCTTCAGTTGCTAGTTGCGAATTGTAAAGCAGCGGCAGCAGAGCAACTACACTCAAAGTACAGTTGCGCCGTGAGCCACCAAATCTGAACAAGCTAGATTCTGTGGTTCTTGAGCTAGGTGAGTTGGTGAACTGAACTAGTGTTGGTCTATGATGAACAATTTGTGTTGCGAATGAGGAAGTTCCATAGACGACTAGTTCCGCTGATTCGTTCGGCTTCTTGAAACATAAGCTCCATTGCCTTCTGCTGTTCATGAGCGACAAGTTCATGAACAACAAGTTCCATTGACTTATTCAACTTCTCATGAAGTACAAGTTTCAATGACCTTTTATGTTCATGAACTACAAGTTCTCCTGACTTATACTACTGCACATGATCTAGTTCCATTGACTTATTCAACTGTTCAGGAGCAACAAGCTGCCTTCCCTTCTTCTACTATACATGAACCACAAGTTCCATTGAATTTTCCTACTGTTCATGAACGACTAGTTCCTTTTAATTGTTCTACTGCATATGAACTACAATATTTTTTGAGTTGTTTTACTGCATGTGAGCTACAAGTTTCATTGACTTTTTCCGAACAACTAGTTCCATTGACTTATTCAACTGTTCATGAGCTCCATTCGCTAGTTCTGCTGTTCTGAACTACAAGTGGCTTTGATTTTTTTTCTGCAGTTTATAACCAACAAGTTCCATTGGCATGCTCATGAACAACTAGTTCCATTGACTGGTTCTGCTGTTTATGAACCAGTTCCAGTGACTTGTTCTGCCATTCATGAGCGACTAGCTCCATTGACTCGTTCAACTATTTGTGAACATTTAGTTCCACTGATTGTTCATGAACAAGTTCTTTTGAGTTACTCAACTATTGATTATGAGAGGCTTCAACGCATCGTTCATAAACTGAACTGAGCTGCGACGAAAATAACTGTATTGATCAATGGGAATTATTAGTTTAATCAGTCGCCCATAGATGTCGCTAGCTGCTCAAAGAGTTGCACGACAGAGCGAAGAACTGGAACGCTAATGTCATTTGTCTCTATGAAATGCAATTGCCAGCTATTTGTCGTGCGGCAGCAGCTGTGGCCGTAGAGACGGAGACAGAGATGGAAATGGAGGCGGAGGTGGAGGTAGAGGCAGTGGCAGAGGCAATCTGAGGCTGGCATCAATCTAAGGGCGTTGTCATAATTAAAGAAATTACATTCATAAGCAGAAGCAGATATCGTGCGGGGGGGCGCCGCTCCTTAGCTGGACGCTCTGTGACGCAGCTGTGTCCTTGTGCCATTCGGCCTTCTCGTCCAGCCGCTGCCACGGCTACTGATGCTGCTGCTGCTGCTCTGCTGCTGCTGGCATTCCTTATGCTTGAAAATGGCTCCTGTTGCCGTTCGCCTTGAAGGCCGTGACGCTTTTGGCAGCGAAAGTCGTAAAGAAAAATGATGTTTTAAGTAAAATTTATATCGGGGTCATTAAGTAAACTTGGCACAAAGTTGACGCTAGCCTCTTATTGTTGCTATTGCTGCTGCTGCTGCTGCTGCTGCTGCTGCTGCTGCTGCTGCTGTTTGTGTGTGGCCCCGCCCACCGCGCAGGCCGCCCCATTTTATTGTTGTTGCTGTTGTGCGCAACAATGTCGCCATTTACCATGGCATACTTTGTAGCACTTTTCAAAAGTTATGAGGCAGGCGGAGTGTGGCACATTTTGCAGTATTTTAGTATTTCAGTATTTCAGTATTTCGTCTTTGGCATTTCACTACTGCTGTTTAAAGTTGGCTCAACTTGCTGTTTCGCTCTATACATACACATATCTACATACATGTATATACTTCATTTCACACACACAATGTTGCCAGAGAATTGAATAATTTGTGCGAGTGTGTGTGTGTGTATGTCTCCCTCTCTCTCCCTCTCTCTCTATAACATTTATTCGCATTGTTCTGTCTGCTACGTGGACCTGGCTGATTAATGTCCTCATGTCTGCAGTCATTCAGTCAATCCCTTATTCATTTGGCCATTCATTCAGTCGTGCATACAATCATTTCACATCCAGCGACTGACTTCCTACTTAACAAACTAATTAAGTTGGCGGCATTGCGGGTCTTAGCCGCTGCCTCTGGCAGCAGTTGAATCTATGCGGCAGCAATACACAATCAGAGCAAACACACACACACACACACACACACACACGCAGAGCCTCTGACACACTCATCACAATCAGCTCGGGTCGTTCATTTATTTGCACATATAATTAGGCGCATGAGAAGCGACAGCCGTGGGGCACATTTCCTGCCAGCCTACAACAATGACAATCTGCTCTGCCTCTCTCTCTCTCTTATACCCCCTCCCACCTCTCTCTCTCTCTCCCTGGCTAGGTGTTGGCATTAATCAGCCTGCACTCCGCATGCAGCACGCACGCGACTCGCTAATGGGGCACGCAACATAAATACATGTTTGTTGTTAGCCTGGCTTTAAGGCCAAAAACCCAGCTGCCCCACCCCCCTCCCCCATCCTCCGGTCACCCTGTTGCATTGTCTTGTGTTGGCTTAGAGTGAATTATTGAGTCGCTTGGAATTTATGGCAGCCTCATTAATGCGCCGGCTTACTAATGCAACGGCCAATGAATGGATTCAATGAGTGTATTCAAAGCGCCACTGCCAGAAAGACCTTGGCCACAATATTCCCAGCAGCAGCGACAGCAACGGCAACGGCAAAGGCAACGGCAACTGCAACTGTTACTGTTAGTGAAACCAAATCCAAAAACCAATCCAACGACACATGCAGCACTTGTGTGGCAGCTGCTTTTGAGTGAGCGAGAGAGGAAGAGAGAGAGAGAGACGCGGCGCACACATGAAACTAACACAAGGCCATTAACAAAAGCCTGAGACTGACTGCCATTTCTGCAATGGGCACGGCCCAGGCCGGGCTGCGGACGGGGCATCTGAGTTTTGCCCAAAAGATTCGAGAAGCTGCAGGCAGCGCTCGGGCTCTGTATAAACCAAATTAAAAGTGCGAGGCGAACAGCATGCGCTATGAAATGAGCACACACACGAGGAGCAAGCACAGCATCACATACACACACACGCACACACACACATACACAAGCTCAGTCACCGTGTTGCTACCCATTTGAGCCGCCTCGCAGCTACCTTGGCTGTTGATTTCTTTTTTTTCATGCTGATAGGCATAGCAAAAAAGTGTGTGTGTGTGTGTGTGTGTGTGGCACTGCTGCATATGCATGTTGCATAATTTTGGCCGCGCGGCAAGTGGCAAAGCGCAGGCAACTGCTGCCCAAGCTGCAGCGAGCCCATCAAAATTTCGTTGATTTTCATTTCATTGCGTTGCGCATTTGATTAACCGTTGCAACAGCTGTCGCCTGGCGGCCACCAATCACACACACACACACACGCATACACACGAACAACAAAAACAGAAAAAACAAATTGAGCATGCAACATCTTGGCAGCAAAACGCTCGACGCACATTGCACATCATCCGGCGTGACTCACCCATGAGCCATGAGCCATGAGCCATGAGCCAGCAGTGAGCACATTGACTAGTTCATTGGACTTGGGAGCACGAAATTGCTAAAGTGCAATCGAAGCACATTTGAAATTGGCATTAAAATTGCCAAACTACACAATAATAATTAATAATGCATCGCAAAATGTAAAAGCATATTAAAAGATATATGCATATAATATAATATAAATATAATAATAATGTGAGCTTATTGACTAATTGGTTAGATTCCAAAGAACTCTTCTTTAATTAAATTGGAAATTGTTTTCAATTCTTAATGAAAAAAATAAATTTTTCCTTGTTTAATAAAAAAAAATATTTAAAAAAATATTAAAAAAAAATATAAAAAAAAATATAAAAAAAAATATAAAAAAATATATTTAAAAAAAATATTAAAAATTAAACTTAAAAAATTATATACATATATATTTAAAAAAAAATTTTTTTTTGTTAAGCAAAAACAAAAAATTAAAAAAAAATAATAATAATAATCTTTCTAATTTATTTTTTGTGAATTTATCAAAAATCAATATATCAAGTAATATTCGATATAAAAAATATTTGTAAAAATAATTTTAAAAAAAGAATAACAATATTTGTATAAAAAAAAAAAAAAAAAAAAAAAAAAAAAAAAAAA